GCTGATGGTGTTTCTGTGCTGAGAAACAGATATTTCAAATAAAATATATATTTTAAATGGGCAAACTAGTGCCCTCTTTAAAAAAGCAATTTAGAGTAAATTATGGGTCTAAATACTTGAACATTGAACAGATCTTGTATATCATGTTTTGCCTTTTTCAGGTGCTGAAAAATAACCACCTACCACCATTCAAAGTTGAAAAATTAACTAAGTTCTAGTCACCAGTCAAAACATATCTAGTAACAATGAAAAAAAGCACAGAGATTGAACTGATACGGATTATGCAAAGTTTTTTCACAACTGACAAAGCATGCAGACTACAGTTTAAGCCCACATTAAAGCATCTTGTAGAGCTGATAAATGGAAATTCTCAAAGGACGCTATTGATTGCTTTCATAATACTTTCATTCTATTAAGTTCACATTTTCATATTCTTACATCGTAACAGTATGAAGTCTTGATGAACTAACAGTTGATGCACAACAAACCTTTTAGGAAATAGTGCTTTAAAAATACTTTAGTGAAATACTGTCCACATATACATATTGAACTTTCCCCAAATCGTTTCATAGTTCAGTAACATTGAATGGAATTAAGATAGCTATTTGTTCAATATAACATGTTGGTCCCCTTATAGTTAAAATGAAAATAAGCTATCTGTAAAAAAAAATTTACATTAGTAATTTTTCAAGTAAACAACTTGATTGATAAAGAAATAGAAAAACATGGACTAAAAACGTATTGCTGTTTAAAAGGTTAGTTTGTTCCAAGTTACAAGGTTAATATTATTGCTGTTTCACAAATGAACACGTGATTTCGGATTATTCACTTTAGGGGATGAGGGTGATCAGAAAAGATAAGGCTCATAACCACTATCTTCAATGTTACATTTTGTGAAGTGGCATTGTTTTATTCTCTCTCCACGACTATAGCCAATGCAACTATTGCATTCATGCATTTGACCTCTTCATGGCAAGTATGAATACTACATTTCATCCCCACATCCTATATTCTTGATGCAATTTAATCTAATCCTAATTTACATTAGGCATATTTTTAATCTTGCCATAAGATAAAGCAACTAGTAAGAGTTTGTGACCTGAAAGTCAAAGGGACTCCTGTAATTCATGTAACTATATTTCATCTATTCACTTCTATCAACTTTCTGATAAGATTTCTTATTCAAATAAAGCATTTTTCATTCACTCTGAATAATGTAGCAGCACTCAAAAGTAATTAGTAGTCCAATAACCACTACTTTGTTCTTTACAAATTTAAACAGTTCAGACTTACTCACAAGTCTGCAGTTCCACTTCCTTTGCATTGCATTGACTCCCAGTCATTAGAAAATACATTTATACAGGAACTTTTAAAAAGCAATCTATACTTAGACATTATACAGTGTTAGTAAAGCACACTAATTCCTTAAAGGCAACTTCTTCTTAAGTTATTTGTGCACACACAGTTGCCTGTGCTAGGTGGTGCGCAAA